TCCACCCAGGATCCAGGGGATCGCAGTTCAGTTCCCGGTCAGGGCACATGCCCGGGTTGCGGGCTCCATCCCTAGCAGGGGGTGCGCAGGAGGCAGCCGATCAATGACTCTCATCACTGATGTTTCTCTCTCTCTCCCTCTCCCTTCCTCTCTCTGAAATCAATAAAGATATATTTTTATTGGGGAGAAAAAGGGACATCTGTAATATTTTAAACAATAATAAAATTTAAAAATTAAATTAAATTAATTTAAAAAAAGATATATTTTTTAAAATAAAAAAAGAAAAGAAACAACAGACAGGGCACAGGGCATTTCCGGAACGGGCCGGTGCTCTGCCATGTGAAGGAGGCAACGAAGCAAAGGTTTTGAAGATGGGGGGGGAGGGGCTGGCTGCCTTGGTGCTGTCTCTGAAGCATTAGGGAGTCATCAGAGGCTTTGAGCAGGGGTAACAAGCTAGAAGCTGGCAGATTACTTCAAAGGGACCAACCCAGAGCATGCTTTCAGGGGTGTCATCCCACCTCAAAGAATCCAGCCCATGGAGATGTGGGACAGGAGGAGAGGGGAAGCTCAGATGCCACATTAATAATGTCCCAGGTTCTGGGAACCCCAGAGCATGAGTAAACTGAGCTGGCTTTGGCTGCCGCCTCCTTCAGCCGTCCACCTGGATTCAGCCAGCTCTGCTGGCCACCCAGGGACTTGTCTGAGTCACTGACAGTCTGAAATCCTACTGGCCTTTCTCCTGCCTGGCCTGAGACCAGAGGCAGCTGCTGTCGCCACAGGACATTGGCGGTTGGGAGGAATTACGATCTGGCCAGAGAGATGTCCACGCAGTGCACCCCCAGGCCCAGAAAAAAAGAAAAAAACCGACCACGTTGACAAACAGCTTGCCTGTGTCCATTCTCACAATTATGTCATCCCACTGTTAGTACCTGATGGGCACCGAGGCTGGCTCTGGTCAGGGGGTGCTAAGCCTTCCCCCAGCACCATCTCCCCTCATCTCTTCTGACCCAGTTGCCTCTCTCCTTGACCTTCTCTCCACCTGACGCTCACCCCACAGTCCTAACCCAAGCCCATAGCTGCCCGCCTCCCAGGCTCCCCCCAGCCTCCCCCTCTGTACCCGCACGAGGACAATTCTACGGTGCCACCTGGCTCTAGGGCCCGGCGGCCTCCCTTTCTGCGCGGCCCTCACCTCCACGTCATCGCTTCCCTCCTGACTGTCAGCCCAGCCGTTCCCCTGCATCTGCGCCGCTCAGCGGCCCCGCATCTGGTCATCACTGTCGCCTGGCCAAGCCCCTCCCGCCAAGCCCAGCTCCCTGTCGACTCCACACGCGGCCCTAGCTGCAGGCCCGGCTGCAGGGCCCCCACGGCCAGCCGGTCTCACCTAGGGAGACGCCAGCCCAAGGGGCGCCGCCTGCAGTGCCACCCACTTCCCAGCGCGCTCCTCCCAACGTCACATCCACCAGAAGAGCTTCGTGTCCACGTGCCACGTCCACACGCTGCCCTTACCTCCTGCCGCCGAGGAGCTCCAAGGGCCAAGCCCTCCTCGGAGCCGGAGCCAGTCCCCTCCCACGGTCCCTGGGACGCTGCTTCCGAATATCCGCCTCCTGCAGACATCATCAGGTTCTCCCTCAGCCCAGGGATTTCCATCGGCACCCAGAGTGCAGCCTCTCCCGCCACCGTGTGAACCCCTGTAGCGGAGGTGGCCACGGCCCGCAGGGCAGAGCCTGCTGCCGAGGCCCCCCAGCCCCCCACCATCTGGTGGGGCCTTGGGACTAGTTCTCACTAGGAAGGGGAGTGGGAGCCTCTCGTCCCTTCCGTGGCCTGATACACACACGCACAGCGACCGTGGACTATGCTGGACGCGGCAGAGCCACGGGGGCAGCCTGAGTTCCCCGATGCCACCCGGGGACAGCTGCCCACCAGTCGGCAACACCCACTCGGAACTTCCAATGACCGAGAAGCAAACTTCGATTGTGTTCAGCCGCTGTGCGTTTTGGGGCTTGGGTGTCACAGCAGCCGAACGCAAACCGCACCCCTTCGGCTGCCCCTTCACGTTTCCTTGCAGGGAAGCTCCTTGAACGAGCTGCCTGCGTCCCCTGCCCCGCTGCCTTCCAACGCGGGCGACCGCACGCCTGGGCCCCGCCGCTCCACAGGAGCCTGCCAACCGGGTCCCCGGTCCCCGGTCATGGAGCAAGCCCACTGCCAGCCCAGAGGTCAGTTCCAGCCCTCACCCCACGGAAGGGTGCGCGTTTGGAAGTTAAAATTCCCGCGCTTCGGGAAACGAGTCTCAACAGAAGGGCTGAAGAGCAGACGGAATTCAACCAGCGAGGCGGGGCGCGAGCTGGACGCCGGCGCCGCGCCCACCGGAGGCTCTTCCTGACCAGTTCCGGGGCGTGTGTGATATGCAACCGAGGCCTCTCCTCGGCCCATTGAGTCCATACTAACGGTGCCTGCTGTGTGCCAGGCGTTGCTCCGGGCGACAGGGGCAGCGGTGAGCAAAACCGGCCAAGTCCCCACCTTTGTAATTTATTATTTACTTATTTATCTATTTAATCTTCACCTGACCATGTGTTTTTATTGATTTTTTTAGAGAGAGAAGAAGGGAGGGAGAGAGAAACATGGATGTGCGACAGAAACATCACCAGTCGCCTCCTGTACTCACCCCGACCAGGGATCGAACCCGCAACCTAGGTGTGTGCGCCCTGACTGGGAATCAAACCTGCAACCTTTTTTTTTTTTTGGTGTACAGGACAACGCTCTAGAGCCGCCCGGCCAGGGCGAGTCCCCACCTTTAAGGAGCTAGCATTCGAGCGTGGGAAGCCAGACAGAAAGGAGATGTTTGGGTAGAGGCGAAGGGCCCTGGGTGGTGGTCCGTGCAGTGGAAAAGCAGGAAAGGGGACGGGG